TCATGTCCTTCAGGGATATGAATCACCAGAAACGAGAGTGAAGTCTGCATGAACCCTGACTTTTAAAGTAGGCAGGCACCAGAACTAAGAAGGGAAAAGAGATTTTAATGAGTGTATTCTTAGAAATCAAAGTGCACGTCTGGGGCATTAGAGGTCAAAAACAAGGCCACCCCCTGCATACTGTATAGCAATTCTCTTACTTGACTGAGCCCCGCCATTTCCCTGCCCCGTTACCCAAGTCAGATGCTCTAAATCACCCTCTTCTTCCTACTCAGGGCTCACAACCCACCCCTCACTCTCATCCGATTACACTCTGCCTCCTATGTTTAAAAACAAAAGGACAGGATGCCAACACCAACCTCCTTCCCATCAATACCTTTACATACATTATAAATACACACACAGGTGTACAAACACACACATATTGAACATACTGTATTACTTCCATATAATCTCAGAAGAAAAAAGTCATCTCTTATTCATTTCCAGGGTTCATGCCTCCAGTTGTTTGTTGAATTTACTTCTGGATTTACAGGCCCCTAAGCTTTCTCACCTATTCCCATTACTAAAGACTATAAAATTTTCTGATATCGCGTTACAGATTCATGCTGCTGACTGCCTACTAGCCTACTCCAAATGCAAGTACCAGGAAACTTTACATTTAACAAGACCAAAACTATGCAATAAAAGGGTTACCACAGAAGGCCTGAGGCTGCTATCCTTATAAAAGCCTACTTGCTTGGCCAGCCCTTGGCGAGTGTCTAGGCTTGGATTTTTGGAGGGTTTCCACCATTCCCTAAACTGGTAACAGTGCTTCACTGTGCCTGGACTCTACAAACAATGCAGTTCATGCTGAATAGCTGCTTTCCTTCCCACACTGTGAGATTCTGGTATGTGTTAGATAGAAGCTACCTCTATGATGAGCCTCCACCCTCAAAAACTCTTGGGTCCTGAGTCTCCAGCAGATTTCCCTCAGCAGAAATATACAAGTTGCAGTACTTTCACTGTGGAGAAACAAGTGCACTCCGTACCCCTCCTGAGGAGGAGACAGTATAAAGGGGCTTACACATGGATGCTTCCAGACTCTGGTGTGCCTTTTCCCTTACAATAGAGGTGGATATCCTTCCTCTGTTATGTAGAAAATCTCAGCCATGAGTACAGCTACATACCTAGTCCATGAGTCCCTCTGACAAATCTCCAATCTCTAAACTTGGCAGTGGTCATGAGAGCCCCCAACAAAGTGCACATCACATTATCTTGAACATGCCAAGACTTAAATGTGTCCAAAGCAATTCTGATAAAATGATTTTTCTCTAAATAGGAGAGGAAATGTATGGAATAACATTAAGGGGAGTGCAGAATTTGAAATGGGGAATTTTTTACTGCTAGCTTTGAACCATTTGAAGTATACTGGACTCTGAACTATATTTGACATTAGAATAATATTATTATCTACTCAGTATACACCATCTAATCTTTTGTAATAAATACTGTCACACAAACTAGTAAGATGTGATTTGAGATGAGGACATAGAATGAGGGTGACTTTTGGACCAAATTTTATTAGGTGGCCTTGGTTTAGATAAACCTAGCTGAAGTAATAACCTGTGGTATTCCTAGCAGCTTCCAAAAACAGAAATGAAATTATGTTCCTCATAAAAGGTTCCAAGGGCCTAGACTCCCATCATATGGGTACATTGGTGTAACTTCCAGCAGTGATAAGAATTAAAATATGGAAAAAGGAGCTTCTGAAAAGCAGCGAGGACTTCTCCAATATTCTTCCAAGTAGCTCCTTAGGGGCAATAGCCCCAGGTACCATAAGCCCAGCAGTCAAATACAATGGATTAAGTAGGAAATCAGTCCTGAGCTATAAATAGTTCTGGAAGACACAGTGGGTAGAGAGGTTCTGGGAGACTTCAAGTAGACCTTAGGTAGACTAGTTCTGAGGAAGATGGCTTTTGACAGAAAAAGCAAAAGAATTACTAGTTCTACAGAAAGCCATCTGTCTCCTACTTCTGTTACACAGAACTGGACACTCTTATCTGTGGGAGTTGGCTTTTGGCCCTTAGATGGTTAAAAGAAATGTGGGGTTCAGGAGTATGACAATTTAAGTGTGACTGTGACTAAACCTATAAAAATAAACGTGGTTAGCTGCAGTGACTCATGCTATAATCCCAGTACTTTGGGATGCCAAGAGTTCATGACCAGCCTGGGCAACAGAGCGAGACTCATGGCTACAAAAAATTTAAAAACTTAGCCAGGCATGGTGGTACACACATGTAGTCTCAGCAACTCAGGAGGCTGAGATGGTAGGATTTCTTGAGCCCAAGAGTTCGAGACTGCAATGAGCTACAATCGTGCCACTGCACTTTTAGCCCAGGCAAAAGATCAAGACCCTGAAAAAAAAAAAAAAAAGTAAAAGAGAAGAAAAAAGGTAAAAAAAACTCACTGAAATAATATGAAATATGAAGTTTATGGTCTGCTCACAAATAACTGGGAGAACGTGGAGGAAGAAACAAGATTGGCCATGTTTGATGATTGTTGAAACAGAGTAGTGGGTACATGGGAGTTTCATTTTTAATTATTCTCTTTACTTTTGTATGTTTTAAAATTACCACAGTTTTCTATATGGTAAAATAAAAGTCTGCTTGCTTCAAGAGTGAAAAGTGTCTCTGAGGTTTTTGATGTGCAGTCTGGACATCAAGACAGGACTGCAAACAAGATTGAAGGCAGAACCTCTAGCTGGGGGGGAAAAAAAGGTAATTCAGAGTATCTCCGAACTCAATTCACAGTGAGTTACTGAATGTTCTGAAGGTTGGTCAATGTACACAGAGCCCCTAACAACTATATTCCAACCAAAATCTGTTTATTTTCTTACATTCTGAATTGTGGTTAACAACGCCTCATCTAATTCTAGGCCTGATACTCCAGAATCACTGTCCATGCCAATCTCTCCAAATCTAAGCACATCTAAGTAATTCTAACTCTTGAATCTGTCTTCTCTTTGTCTTTGGCCACAGAATTAGCTCAGGCTTTCCACAATCTAAGTTTCCTGACTCCAAATGTCACTGTTTCTTAAGCATCCTCCCTACACTGTTATTAGGCATCCTTCTAAAACACAAAACTGATTATATTTCTCCTCTGCAACTGCTTTTAAACATTCAATGAGTCCTTACTGGTATCAGCAATAATTCTCTGCTAGCCACTTGAAGATGAGATAGAGGATATTTTGTGAGAACACACTCTGTGGCAGTATGTGTTTTTAAAAAATAATATAAAATTTACCACCTGTTTGGTTTGTCTTTAGTGATGACAGCTATTGTTTTAACATAATTCTGAATGCCCCTGGAAGCCTGTTATGTTTATAGGGGTAGTAATGTGTTATAAGTTATAGTAATGTGTTATAAAATAGTGAAGAAACACTTGCCTAGAGAATAAAACCCACACTCCTTTGCATAGTATACAAAATCTTTCTCAATGTGAACCTAAATTCATTGTTTATGTCTCATCTTCCATTACATTCCTCGCCACAAACACACACAGTAAAACTCTCAGAGGAGTTTCTGATTTCTGAGCACATGTTCACCAACTCTTTCATGTTTCTGGTTTTCCATGTTCTATTACCATTTTCTAGATCAGCAAAGTTCAAAAGAAATGTGACCCACAAGTACAGGCTGTATATATCATTTTAAATTTTCCAGTCACTTAAAAGAAACATGAATTTTATTATCTTTTATCTAACCAAATATATCTAAAATATTATTTCAACATATAACTAATATTTTGTAATTACTGAGATTTTTTATATACATTATATTTTGTACAAGTCTCTGACATCCAATATGTATATTTACATTTACATAACAACTCAATCTGGACTGGCTGTGTTTCAAATGCTCAACAGTCACAAGTACCCACTGGCTACTGCACTGGATGGCACAGGTCTGGTATTCTTACCCTGGTCTACTTAGTATCTACTGTGTACTTGCCAAATGAATGGAGACCTCACCTAACTTCATGCATCCTGTAGGGGTCACTCTACACACGGCTTTTTATTTATTTATTTATTCAACCAACAGACACTGTTCTGTTTTCAAGTACAAATTGTGAGGTTTCTCTAAACTGGTCATTCTGTCCTGAGTTCCCTCTTGGGTCCTCTGCTCCCTTCACCACCATATCACAATCCCAACAGCACAATCTCTCACGACTGCAGTCAGGGAAGAGGAAAGGGGAAGCCTATCTAAAGTCATGTCAAGGTGTAAAAAATCTCATTTTGTTTAAAATCACCCTTGAAAACTCTCAAATAGTTCCTAAGAAAAGCAGTCCATATGATCTTGCATGTGCACAGCCCTGTAAAGGCCCACAGGAAGAGACCAGCCATGAGAACACACACTCATATTCCATCTTGTGTCTACTTTGCTTCAAGGCTCATTTAGCAGAAGGGAGGGGATGAGTTACGGCTACTGGAAATCCACACACCCTCCAAGCCATGCAGTGGAATTCACATAACTCACCACACCTGTACGGTACAACTCTATCATTACTCCTGCCTCCTGTTTATTATGCCAAACACTCTACCTCAAATGCTATATTCTTTTTATTACAGAAGTTTTAACTATTCTATCAATAAAGGAGTTACACTGTTTACATGCTACCCTCAGGTTGGAGGGCAGCACGTAGAGTAAAAAGAGTGTTTCACATTCTAGTTTTCTTGCCTCCTGTGCCACTTTCAGCAACCTTCTGAATGAGATTTTTGATATGCAGCAGCCCCCCTGGTTTGTGAAGATTCAGTAAAGAACACAGAACACTGCTGATTCCATTCCCTTTTCCCATTTCCTCCATTAAGTCTTTCAAAACCTTTCCTATGATACAGAGATCATTTTTTTTAACTAATGAGGAAATCAATGTTTTTAGTTCACACCTGAAACAATTCTCAGTTAGAAAATATATATGCCAAGAAAAAGTGTCAAATCAAAACTAATCACACACATTCTCATTACCTGCACAAATCTGGGGGGAAATTTTTGTCTGAGGTCTACAAGCAAAGCATCCACACGTTGTCTCTGAAAAATAGAGCTTGGTTCTTCTTTCCTTTTGGCTTTAGGTTTGGCTTTATCTATCAAAAGATGAAGTACAAAACAACACTTTGTCTAATTAGTCTGGTATCTTGTATTTTACAAAAATTATTCACCATGAACATACATAAACTTTATTATTTTTAATGGCCACTATACCAAAGATAATTCTCCAAACAAGCTAAACACAGCATATATCCAGAAATATTCTCACTCTCCCTCTTAACTGAAGATAATTCTAATATTTAAAAAGTTGATACATACGTCTTTTAAAAACATTTCAGTTTTGGTAAGTAAGCATGGACAAACATAAGAGTTTTAAGACTAAAGTTTTTCATAATCACCTAAATCACAATCCAAATTACTGGCTGAAATGACCTCTTACATATTTTAAGTGTATTAAAAATACATAGTCTTTTTCTACAAAATCTACTAGGAGCAAATGGAAATGCAGGTTTCACAAACTCAAGTAACCATGATCCATTATTAAGACTGCAATTCACTGAAAAAAAAACAACAACATAATAAAACAGAAGATCATAAAAACAAAAAAAGGAAAGAACCCGAGGAGAAATTGCAGCTGATGCCATATGCTATCTGCCCTTAGAGGGAGATGTACTGGGAAACCGTCTCCAGTGAAAGATTCCACCTAAATATTACTCCAAACATTTTGTAACAGCAGGGAAAACAATTGTTGGGTCAATTTTGCTCAACTAAGACAAACTTACCTATGTCAAATGTTGCTGCCTGAACCTACTATTAAGAATAAATATAACTGTATCTCAAAGAGCATTTCATAAGTCTGAATCTATCTTTTCCTCAGTGATTTATTCTGAGTTGCTACTTCTCAAAGAAGGAAATGCAGAATACAGGTATATTCTTATAGACATATTTCTGGAGGTAGTTTTATTGGCAAAATATAGTGAAGACAGTAGCAGATTAGGAGCCATGGAAACTTTGGGAACAGGACATCACAATATCCTGGTGATAACAGGGAATGATCACAAAACAGACTGGTAATCCAGAGATAAGGCTGTCAGAGCAATCCCCGGTCTCTTCTACCTTGTAGGCTGGAGGAAGAAAGGTTCCAAATTCCAAGATGACTCAACAGTTATGTAAGCAGGAAATATCATATATGCTCATTCCTCACCACTATTTCTCCACTTTATGTTCCAAACATTTTAATTTTTTTTTTTTTGAGTTGGAGTCTCACTCTGTCACCCAGACTGGAGTGCAGTGGCCGCTCCCGGCCACCACAGCCTCGACCCGCTGGGCTCCGGCGGTCCTTCCGCCTCAGCCTTCCATGTAGCTGGAACTACAGGTGCACACTACCACACCCGGGTGATTTTTTGATTTATGGTAGAGATGAGGTGTTACCAAGTTGCCCAGGCGGGTCTTGAACCCACGGGCTCAGGCAATTCACTCACCTCAGCCTCCCAAGGCACAGGATTACAGGCTGAGCCACCGAGCCCGGCTTGTTCCAAATATTTTTAAACCCTGACACCTTAACAAAGATTGCCAGTTACCTAAGAGATTTAACTCATATCTGTTCCTATATGAAAGCTCTTATTACCACATCTAGTTACCCGGATTGCAGCTGATACACTCATCATCCTATGAAAAAGGGAAGCACACCTAGAAAAGATCAACAGCCATTTTCCTAAAGAAAACAGTTTCCTTCAGAGAAGCAAAAAGTGCCTTAGGAGAGTCTGGGTATTCTACCTACCTTGCTCTTCGTGATCTTTGAAGTGCCACCAATACCCTTTGGAAGGATGATATCGACAGTATGACATAGCTTCATCAAAAGCTGACTGAATGCCATGTACTGCAGTAAGCTTGAAAAAAGAAAACAAATTCTAAATTTTTCATTAGGTCCAAACAAAAATGTCCAAAGTAAACACAAAACATTCCATATGCAAAGACAGTAATTTCCTATTTTTCCAAACCTAAGTTACTATAAAACTGGGGCTATGGTATATACTTGGGCACTGACTCAATTCACAGTAACCAATTTTCAAGACATTCTAATAGTCAACTATACATAGCAATCTACACAAGGTAGAAAAGCTCCAGTTTCATTCTTGGACGCAAGTAGCTCAATTAAGTTTTCTTTAGCATTTAAAGAATGTAAAGACACTTACCACTCTGGAATTTATAACTGATCCTAAGTCTGGTGCCTGATAGATCACTCCAGCAATGATATAGTAATCAGCTAGTGGGATAACTAAAACAGTGGGGAAAAATGATTGTGAATACAGCTATAGACACAAACTGCTTAACAGAATTTAATAAAAAGAACAACTTTTGTGACCAGCCTGGGCAACACAGCAAAACCTCGTCTCTACAAAAAAATTTTTTTTAAATTAGCCAGACATGGTGGTACGCATCTGTAGTTCCAGCTACTTGGGATGCCAAGGCGAAAGGACTGCCTGAGTCCAGGAAGCTGAAGCTGCCATGAGTCATGATCATGCCACTACACTCTAGCCTGGGAGACAGAGTAAGAACTCTGACTCAAAAAAAAAAAAACTAAACTAAACTAAAATTTGACTTGTTCCCATATTAAACCTTAAGGCAGAGTTTGGTAACTCCTACTTTTGTAAGTAAAGCTGTACTAGAAAACAGCCACACCCAACTGTTCACATATCATCTATAGCTGATTTGACAATGGTTGGATAGGTATCATAGAGATTAAGAGGCTCACACAGCCTAAAGTATTTACTCACTGGCCCTTCACAGACAAAGTATGCCACTCTTGTCTTACAAACTTTCACCTGCATCTGAATCACTTAGGGATCTTAAAATTAACTCTTATTCAGTAGTTATAGTGCATTTCTAACACATTCCCAAGTGATGCCAAAGCTTTCGCCAGTCAACCATACTTTGGGGGTAAAGAACCAAGAGCAAGACAGACTAGGGGTCCAGGGTATAGACATCAAATGCATCAACCTTCCTTCTGCTCCCCAGTGTTGGGTCCTAAGGAGTTAGATTACTGCTAGTGAGGCTGGCGGTCTTATCTTTCACCTTCAATTCTCTTACCATGGAAATTTTGTTCGTGGTCCTGCCTTTGTTCTAAGGTTCTTTTTCTCTGGGCACAGATTCTAGATCTTTGATGCTGAAACTAAATTTAGATTCTGGACCTGAAACTTCTTTACCAACTCATTCTCTGAAGTCAATACTTGGTAAAGGTTGTTCCTAAATGTCTTGGTGAGGGTATATAATTGAGAGATGTAGCTGGGACAGCACCAACTGACTTCTCTGTTTTGAATTGTCCCTCCATTTGGCTCTGTCCATGGTTCAGGATTATTATATGTCTTCCAGTTCTGATCATCTCTAGAGCAGGTGTCTAACTCTGTGATTCAAAACCAAATCTTGATGCTATACTCTTCAGTGTTATATCTAAAGCAAGTTTGTTTGGTAATATAAACCAGGTAAGGCTTTTGGTTGAATGCCATGAAGATTTTCAACTGATCCTCTATGAATTTGGTATGACTGTACATACCATGTATTTTATAACAGAAGTAACTCAGTGGACTGAGATGATAAGAAAAAGTACTTGGAATGTCTGAGGTTCAGTTGGAATCCCCATCACTGTACTCAAAGAAAGAGGTGGTCCTGATGAAGTGAGCTGCTCTGTTAGTGCTTGAAAAGTATTCTTGGGCATGTTGGAAGAGTCCTAATGTCCAGGTTTATAACAAGTGGAACTTGGGGTCTGAAGCATTTCTTAGGTGATGGTTACGACTGCAGCAGCAGCCTACTCAATTTGTACAAACAATGTGATTATAGTGGACAACGGATTTCCTTCTGGGAGTGTGGAATTTTGGTGGGCAGGATACTACACAACCAGTCCTCAATACAAATCCTGGGCTCATAATCGCAAACGGACTTCCCTGAGCAGATGTACTGAATACATGTGGCTGCTGCATTTCACTGCTGGGTGAAGGGCATGCTCAGTGTGGCCCCTCACGAGAAAGAAAGCATAGGAAACTTGCACATGGATTCCTACAAATCCTACCTGACATTACTAATCTGGCTGTGTGCCCTTACTGTGCTGCCATGACACATCTCAGTCATAAACACAACCACAAGCTGAGTCTGGTAAGTCCTCCCAACAAAGTACTGAACATGTATGTATATAGTCTTGGGGACTCAAACAGAATTCAATCCTATACACACACACACACACACATTAGGAAGTATATAAATCACAGTATTTCAGAAGAAAATAATGCCTGAAGTTTATACAGTTTACCTTGGGCAGGAGACTGCCGCTGCTGCTTCCGGATGATAAAAAGAATAGGCTCCTGAGCGTGTAAGAGAATGTATTCGACTCCAACCATCTGACTGAAAACAGAATACAGATATCCAAAGACCTACAAATGCCCTCTAACAATTCTGCAGAACATTCAAATTACTACATAAATGTATAACAACACTGAAAGTAGGATTAATACTGCCTATGTTTGGTGTTAAAAGGAGGCTGTTAAATAAAATAGGCTAGTCTCCCAGAGAGATAGTAAAGAAATAAAATAAGACTTGCTCCATAAAACAAAATGAATTGTAAACTTAAAATTTGATTATTTTCAATCAGGAAAGAACACTGATGAGTGTCCATGTCAAAAAGGCAATAAAAATACCATGATGTTTCTGAGAAGATCTATAAATACAGATAAAATATTTTTTTTAAAAATGAAGACTCAACTATATACACTACCAAACTGGAAACATCAAAAACTGTATCCTCACCCCAAGTATTTGCACCATTAACAAAAGCCACTTAAAATGCCACAGAAAGTTAATTTTATGAATCCTTCAATATTACCTGGCAGAAGAAAAGTTATATTAAGAGTTATTTCAGATGCTTTTGAAATAAAATTAGATCTAGAGGAGATAATAATTATAGTTGCCTGGTTGAGAATAATTGTTGCATTGCTAAAATCACTCACCAGATCAACATCTAAACTTCGTTACATTTTAAATAAGCATTATGAAGTTATACAGAACAGACCTAAGTTACAATTGAATACTAATAATTCCTTTGCATGTTAAATCTATACACACCCAAACAAAACTCTGTTTTTCTTTCAAAAGTTTTACTCTGTACTTCATGGTCCACAGCTTGAAAGAACTGTTCAGCACAAAAACTCCAAATGGCAAAGGTGCTACCTTCTTAAAAGAACTTACTTCAGGTGTTCTAATGTTAGCCTCTGCATTTTGACCACTTCATTATTGCATGTCCTGTCATAAAAAGGATTACTTCTTTCTGAAAAGTAATCTAGGACACTACCGCTATTCAAAATGGGTATCCAAGAGCTGTCAACCCAAGAGATTCCCAGCAGATTATCTATAGGAAAAAAACAAAATAATAATGAATTAGGAAAAAGAAATAATCCAAACACACAAACATTTATTATGCATCTAACGTAGTAGGCACTATGAATATAAGAATGGCATGGACCCTAACCTACATACTCTTACAGTATAAAAGAAGAGGTAAGTATGCAAGAAAGCAATGACAACAAAATATATTGTGTTATAATAAAGGTATGAATAAATGTGTTATCAGAGCATAGAGGAGGGAGCAGAATACTTTACCTGGGGGTATGAAAATGATTTTTCACGAGGTGAAGAGGTGGGTGAGCACCACATGTTAAATAGAGGCTCACCACAGAGCAAAAAAGCAAAGTAATTCCAAGCAGGAAAAATGCACATGTAGAAGTATAAAAATATAAAGTATATGATATGCTTAGAGAATAATTTGACTAGGTTCTTCATTCCTATTGCCACTATGTTAGCTCATCTTTTTCCACGTGTCACCTGGGCAACAGCCTCCTTACGAGGCTCCCTGCCTCCCAGTCTTCTCCCCATCCCATTCAGGCTTAACAATGCTACCCTTGCAAAATACAAATCTAATTATGTCACTTCTTAAAGAATCGCAGTGAATACCTACTGTCTAAAAGATTAAGGCTCAAATTCCTTAATATGGCATTTCACAACCTAGCTCCACCAGATTCCCATTTCACTGCCCACAATTACCTACCACGTAGCATGATGGCACAAGAAAAAGTACACTAGCTAGTTAATCTCCTTGTGCCTCAGTTTGCTCAGCTATAAAATGGGGTCACAGTAGTATCTACATACTAGATTATGTTTGTAAAATGCTTAGCACATTGTAATAACCCAATAAATGTTCATTATGATGATGGTGGTGACTGGCTTTTTCCTCCATCTTCTCACAGAATATTTTCATAATTTTGTCATATTATAACCCAGAAATATAAATGCGTTTCCCATTAAACTGCGAATTTTTAGAGAACTTGGGCTGTATCTTACTCATCAAGAACCAGCACAGGTTCCTGATTCATAATAAACAGCAAATGGATGTTAATTCATGATTGAGGGTCAAGGACAAGTATTCTGTTGGTCAGTGATTGCTATCAGTCCATTTACACAGACTCCAGTATCCAATGATGTTTACCCACAAAATGGTTAACTGAGATTAAGAGTTATGATCTATGGCTGTGAAACTGAATATAATTATCTGTCCCACTTGCAAATGACCTGTGACCACAGCTCATAAAGAGAATAGGTCAAGCAGATTCTAAGCACTTCTTACAATCTCTGCTGTTACCACCACCCTAGTTCAAGCTATGTCCAAACTTTCATGTATTATAGAAATGGCTCTGTAACTGGTTTCCCTAATCCTATACTTGCCCTTCTACTCTATTCTCAGTAGCCAAAGTGGTCCTAAAATAAAAAAGTAAGTCTTAACTCTCCATTTTATTCAAAGGGAAAGCCAAAGACCTTACTGTGGCTTCCAATACTTTTCTGACCTCATCTCATCTCCTTCCCACATCCTCTCTAGCTCGCCTCCAGTCATACTGGCCTCCTGCTGTTCCTCTAACATCAGACACACACCAATTGTAGAGTCTTTGCCACGACCCTAACACATCTAAATAAAAACCAAAACATTATAAAACCTAAATATCTGAAAATAGTCCAGCAAACTAAATGCTTCTCTTTTTTATTCAGTAGAAGACAGCATGTTAACGTAGCCCAAGTACAGCATCCTAACAATCAGCAAGTAATAAATCAGGTGTTTGAAATTCTCACTTATAACGAAAGACAAATAGTAAAAAAGTGATCCAGAGATACTTAAGATCACTGGATAACTATATACGAGAATATGTTTGTAGAAAGTGTGCGATAGACCCTAATCCAGTTAATATGTAAAACAAACTCTTCCTTTTAAAAATCAAGTATTGTGTACACAAACAAAAAACAACTCTACGTGCCAATCGAGTAGCAAGTGAGGGGTGGCATCTCCAATGTGTATTCACCGATTGATTCAACAAGTATGTGAGTACTTCTACAGTTCAGCTGCGAAAAAGACCCTTGCTCCTAGTCATTGCTGGATATTCGACGTTAAGTATTATCGACTCAAAAACAGGAAGTCGAGGACTCATGCCAAGGGACCCGTGGGGCGCGACCTCAACAATGAGGCAATTTCCATGCCAAGTCCCAAGCGATACCAAACCCAGTCGGCTCCTCACCCCACTCCCTTCTCTGCCCAAAGGCCCTTCCTTGGCCCCGACAGAACACCCCAATGCTGCTGCAGAAATGTGTGTAGAACAACACCCCAGCTCTGAAAGCTCAAACCCAGAGCTCCTTCCAAGCCCTCGCTTCGACGCTTCTAAGAGACGCCAGACGCCCAAGAACTGAGGAAAAACTTGGCAAATTTTCTCTGGATCAGAGTCTTGGGTTATGCACAGAAACCATTCAGAAGAACTGGAGAGGCCTCACAAAGGAACCTGGATCTTGCCCCCGCAAACTATAAAATCCCAAACTAGTCTATAAACAAACAGGAAACAAAATGCCGCAGCACAACACAGCACACCTCGAATATCCACCGCCGCCATAATTCCGACAGCGTTCAGTTCTCCTTCCGGTGCAGAGTGAACGCAGTGACTACGACGGCGGAAGCCACGCGTCGAAAGTCGCACGGATGGCAAGTAGGGACAAAAGAGGAGCTATGGGCGGTGCGGAGGAGGAAATGGACAGGGCTGGGAGGTGGGGCCGCGGCGGAAGAGTGACGGAAAGAAGCAGGACGAGAAGTAAAAAGCGCACGGGGCAAGGAGCAAGGGGAGATGCGAGGCGTAAAGGGCGCAGAAGAGCAAGTACAGAGGAGCAGAGAGAGGGTAGGAGGAGAGAGCTGGGCCAAAAGCAAGGGAATGGGGCAGGGCAAGGAGGTGGGAAACGCGGGACGGAGCGGGGTAAAGGGGCAGGACGGGGCGAGGAGGCGGGGCGAAGCGAGGGGGCAGGACGGGCCGACGAGGCGCATCGTAAAGGAAGCAAGGGGCGGGGCGTAAGGGACGGGGTGGGGCATTAGAGGCGAGGTGGAAAGGGCACGGAAACGCAGGTGCAGCAGAGAGCGGCTAGGAGAAAAATGCTGGGCCAAAAGAAGAGGAATGGAGCAGGGCGAGGAGCACGGGCGGAACGAGGAGCGAGGGGCGGGGCGCAGAAAGGCTGGTGCAGAGGAGCGGAGAGAGGGAGAGGGGGGTGCCGAAAGAAGAGAAGAGGGCAGACCTCTGGGAGGAAAATGAGAGACTTAGGAAAAGGACACTGAGTGGAGTTCCAGCCACGCCCACCGCCGAGGTAATCGCCAAAGAAAAGAATTCTGGTGCTGGAGTTGGGATGGGAACGTCTTCGTTGTAAACGCCCCTGGGCTGGGGTCAGGAGCTGTGGCCATTACTAGGTTTAGCTGCCTCGAGTGCGAGGAGGTTTCAGTCCTAACGGAAGGAATCTGAGCTTCGTCGGCTTTTAAGTGACGAATCCCATTAAAAATCTAAACCGAGTAAAGAAAGTATTAAATGCCCCTGAGACACAAATGTCACAAAACAGGAAATGCTTCTAAAGTAAAATATTAATAAGATTAAGAGAGCAGCGGCCTGGTGTCAGCATTCCAGGTGGGTTGGATTCCATCCAGGGAGGGATTCTGTGGCATAGAGAGGCCCCGAAAGATTCTAAACTCCAATGTGTCTCTGCGAGAGCAAAATGATAGAAAGATCTGCAAACAAGACTCACCCAGAAGAGGATCTCAAAATCAGAAGGAGGGATAAGGAGTGGTGCCCACATCTTCTCCAAAACATAGAGATTGCGGAGAGTCTCCCAGAATTTAACTACAACTCTAGAGGTGAGAGGGGAGGACCATGAATTTAATTAATAAAATCCCCTCATACATGGGGAACTCAAAATTGTTCTATCTCAGTATCTCTGTGGAATAAAAGTATACTGCTTGTACATTTCAGTTTAGGGATTTTAATACCTGAAATGGCATATAAAACTAAGCATCCCAACAGAAGTATCTGCATGCACAGAGTACAGTTTCAAAAAATAGAATTTTCCAGGAGGAAAATTATGAGGAAGGCCTGGCTGAGTGCCTGGTAAGTAAAAGGGGGAATGTCATGTCCAATAAATAGAAGTGTGAAACATCAAGCTTTTTCATTGTTTTGCTGGTTATTTGTTTTCTTGTGTTTTTGGTAGGAAAGGAGATTAGAATCATGATAGAACATGGATCTATAAATAATAAAACACACACTGTGTGTGGCAAACGAGACCTGGGAGTTCGGCCTTTATCTGCAGGCAATGGAAGAAATGTGATCAGGCTTCTGATTCAGTAATATTATTTGAGAAGGATAAGTTGGAGATGTTTATAAGACTCAAAGTGGGGAGTCCATTTAGGAGATTGTTGCAAACTAAGTGATGTCTACTAATACAAAGGCAATGGTAGCAGAAAGGAAAGAAAGATGATAGAATCAAAAAGGAATTGGAGGCAAATAGATGGGTCTGATGAGAGAGAGGGAGGAATTAAAAATGATTTCCAAAATACTGATTTACAAGACTGGGCACCGTTAATCAAATTAGGAATAACCAGTAACAACTGAGTAGGTGAAAAAAAGAAGTGACTGTTTAACCATGTTGTTAATGAAATGTCTGCAGAACATCCTGTAAACCGGGATTTCTTGGGCTTTGAACCTGGGACATCTTGGGCCTGGTAATTCATTGGCTGAAGGGGTGTGTGGGGGTGGGAGGTAGTAGGGCGGAAGAACTCTCTTGTGCCTTGTTGGATGTTTAGCAGCATCCCTGGCTTCTGCCCACTAGATGCCAATAGTACCCCGCTCCTGGCACAACTGCCTCCACTTGAGAACTGTGGTGTACGCTGGTATCCAAAATGATGCAATTTTTGGTCCCGTGAGTCAGTGAGCTGGGCCCCCAAGGGATGTTGCAGTTCCCGAAGCTGCACTGCCGGCCTGAGATCCCTGCGGTGGCCAGGGATGCGCTGGCATCTCTATGGGGGAACGCGGTGGCTCCCAAGAACTCGAGGATGCCAACAGCTGTGGCACCCCAAGGAGAGTTACCGCCCTTAGTGTGGGAATCAGTGAGCTGAGCCCGAGAAGTGTTTATAGTTCTGCCACTTCGGTGGTGGGCCAGGAGCCAGCCCCAGAGAAGTGTAACAGTTCCAAGGACTCAGTGGGCCAGCAAGCCAGGCCCCCAAGGAGTGTAGAAGCTCTCTCAGCTTGGTGGGCCCAGCTCTTCCAGTCTGGTGTGTGTAGCTCTTCTAGCGTGGCAGTTCTGGGTTCTTGTCTCACACCTAAACACAGATATAAGAGAATGAGTAAATAGGAATTCATTGTAAGATGGGAAAGCTTCCAGCAGTGGGAGGGTACCCGAAACAGGGTTGTCAATGATGCCTCCTTAGTCAGGGGTTTACACAGTCTTGAGGATTGGTTGGCTGCAGCTCCAATCAGAGAGAGGCAGCATGGTGTGGGATTGAAATGCACCAATCAGAAGAGGGTTGAAAAGGGCTAATCAAAGTGTGAGAAAGGGGAAGTCTGCAGACCGTGAATGGGTGTGCAGCAGAAGTGTTTACCAGACCAGCCCTGATCCATCTGCCTATCCTGCTTCTGCTTTTCTCCTCTCTCTATAGGAGTATGAAGACAAAGCAGAAGAGTTCAGGGAAGAGGGGAGGCTCAACAGTGTCAGTAAGGCATGTGAGGCAAGGTAAGAGTGAACAAGCAGACATTAGTTTGGTAAAGAGGATGCTCTGAATAGGAATAGTTTCTGTGGGATGGTAGGGAGGGGCAGAAGCCAGGGGAAGATGTGTTCAGGAGTAAAGGGAGGTTCTGTTGAGTGTTGACTGCTTCGAGAAGCTTGGCTGAGAGGGAAGGCTGGTGCTAGTGAAATACGGACCAAGCGCTTAATTCACAGATACTGACACCAAAAGTACAAGTTATTAAAAGGAGAGGTTTATTAGCCAAGAGCTGGCCAGCGACCACTTGCCTGCTGGACATGCAAGTCCCACAGCAAGGGCCCCTATTTGCTGTAGAGGCTTGCTTAAATGGGGCAAAACCACATTGGAATTTTCCAAGTGGGCCAAACCACAACATCCTGGAGGCCTAGGTACTTTTCAAGCAATGCTAGCGGGATTCACAGAAACTGTTAAACAGTTTAACCTAGCCAGCAGGTGCTGTGCCAGTTTCCAGGAAGGGAACTTTTTAACTGTGCAAAGGCTGAGTACATGCTTAGCTGTGCAAAGGCTAAGTTTTATGCTTAGCCTAATTTTTGATATTGTAGATGTCTTTTTAAGCCCCCTTTCACATTCCCCCCTTTCAGTTGTTCCTGGAGTCAAATCATTGGCTCTTCATATACAGGGGATTATATTGAGTTGTGAGGACCATTAATTTCACTGATGACACACTATTTTTAACATAACCAAGGAGGCTTTTAACTAAGCAAGGCCCTACTGTTATACCTATTAGGAGCAGGAGGAGGGACCCCGCCACTGCCAAGATCAGGGTTGTGAGCCAGAGGGACCAAGAGAAGAGGGACTGATACCAATTTCCCGAGGCTTGTCTTTGCAGCTCTGTTTGTTTTAGATTGTTTCTTACCAGGGCAAGAGAGTCTCAGATGACCCCGGATTGGTTTGCATAGGAACAGCATGTTTCTTCTAGGGCCATGCATAACCCTCTCTGCTTCGAGAAGAGGAGATCAAGTCCCCTCCTGTTTTGGAGCACAACCTCGGCTAAGGAATTAACTTGCTGCTCTAGGTGGGATATGCTCAACTCCAGGAGTCCTAGGTTCTTATTAACTTGTTTACTTAGCTCCTTGAGGTTTTGGTCCCCAGTGACCAGAGAAGCTGTACTTATTGCTATGGACCATGCAATTTCTAGGCTAATGAGGAGGGGCACTAATATGGGGACCCACTTGGATCGCCCAAGGCCTGAGAGTCGAAGGTGTTCTCATACCTCCGTTCCTTCATAGATATATACCTGGGGTAGTATATGCACTAAGACACAGATTTCTACAGTGTCCCTGAAGTATTCTAAAGTGTTTAACAGAGCAGCCCTGATCCGTCTGCCTATGTAGCTTCTCCTTTTCTCCTCTCTCGATAGGAGTATGAAGTCAAAGCAGAAGAGTTCAGGGAAGAGGGGAGGCTCAGCAGTGTCAGTAAGGCACGCGAGGCAAGGTAAGAGTGAACAAGCAGACATTAGTTTGGTAAAGAGGACACTCTGAATAAGAATAGTTTCTGTGGGATGGTAGGGAGTGGCAGAAGCCAGAGGAAGATGTGTTCAGGAGTAAAGGGACGTGCTGTTGCGTACAAGCAAACCAGGTGGTGGGGGAGTACAACAGCCATGTGGAGGTTTTTAGAGGTTTTCGGATTGGGGATACTTATTACAGAGGCGGTATTACATGACATTTGGTAGGGAGAATTACTTATATTATAAGAGGGAGAATAAAGGCAAGTTCCACGTCCTTGAAGATCTCCCAGAGTAAGGGCCGAGTTCTGTCCCCAGGGACATAGTCCTAAGGACTGAGCTGTAGCGAGGTCAAGAGCACGTACAAGCTTTTTGGTGTTGCCTATTGAGGAGTTCACTGCAATTCCTATGTAATAAGGGGGTCGGGGGTCTAGGCATAGCCAGCAGTCTTTTGATACTTCAAGACAAGTGGTATTTGCAAACCGGTAAACAGCAGATAGCAT